CAATTCTATTGCTATTTCAGTTATTACTTTTATTAGAATTCAGTTAGGGATCGTCAATAAATAACGAAACACTAAATTTATTTAAAAAACAAAAGTCGGAGATCTTTAATTCTTTTACGCGGCAATTTTCATTAAACTTAATGCGCTATTTTGATTCTTTATTTAACTTAAGGCGAGAGAAAATCTTTTTGTTTTGTTTATAAGTGAAATAGAGCGTTGCGTAATTTATGGACAATCCCTTTTACAATTATAATTACTGTTTCAAATATTAACAATAAACAACTGCTAGCCGTCACTAATTGTTAATAATTGAAATAATAACTCCTCACACGTGTTAACGTATGAAAAAAAAAAATTACTTATGACTTTAAAGGCAATTTTTTAAATAACTTTGTTTTGACTACCAAATAATCGTAATATGATTGAAGTTGCAAACTTTCTGAGTAGTGAAGTAGAACGGAAAAGTGTGGAATCTGGTTTCCATGTTAAATTGACTGAGAATAACAAGCTGATTGGAAAATCATTCGATGGTTATAAATTCCCATTGTTATTAGGAGTAAATAAAAACAAAGAGATAAGTACATTATTTTTAAAGAATTAGAATGCAATCTGTATCATTCATTTTTATTTTTTATGAATGTATAGCTGGTAGAAAAAGATACTCCTATAGTGTATTGCAATAACGTTGAAGAGCTTGTTGCAATGGTGTTTCATCACAGACAGAAACAAATGATATTGATATCAAATTAGGTGTAGATTGAGGGCAGTGATTCTTTAAAGTTACTCCATCAATCACCCTAAAACCAGAGTTAGAAAATAATAAAATCCCAAATAAATTGAGGAAGTGTAACGGATATGCGTTCAGACATTTCAAAGATTTAAGTATACACAAAACTATTATACAAGCCGTTTTGCCTTCATTGAACGAAAAATACCATAATGATTATGATATTTTTCAAAATTATCCGCAGTTTATTTGCGGATAATTTTGGATAAACTAAACATTTCTTAATTAGATTACACAGCGTCTGAAAATCTAAAGGTTTTGCTTCAAATGGTTGGAAAACAAACAGAAACATCAAAACACCCTTGTCCGTTTTACATGATCTCATCTCCTAACTTTCAAAAAGCTGATCATTATTCTTTAAAATCTTTGTTCAGGTTGTACAACCAATGGATATCTGATGAGGAAAAATTTATAAAAATGCAAAAATTTATATATATGTTGTTCAACCTATATGTTGTTCAAATTTATATATATGTTGTTCAACCTCCTTTACTAACAGGGAACAAAAATAAAAAAATAACTTAATATTTCCCGTCTACATATACTGTTAGTTACTGTAGAAAAAATTTCAAAAGGAAAAAAAATTGTTTAAAGACAAGGAGTGTGGATTACAGTTTGTCAACCAATACCTGTCTACGATAAACATCTGCATCCTACTAAGGGCAGCATTGTTTGGAAAGAAATGCTTGCAATAAGTTGTTTAAAAACATAGACAGCTTAAGGTGTTTTTTACGAACTACAGAAATCTAGGTGCTACGATCCCTCTTAAGGTACACATAATTAAGCAACATTGTATTAAATTTATCAACTTGAAAGACATGTTAAATAAATTATAAGTTTGATAAAAGATTATAATAATAAATAATTATAATAATAGTAATTAAATACTTATTATTACAATATTACAACAGTTTAAGCAAGTTAAAACTTTCATAAACTAGAACGATTATTCATTAAGTAGACAAGAATTTATTTTTTGAATCTTGAATCCATTCACCAGGATTTCAATCAGTTTTAGCGAATGAAAAAAGTTAAAGAGCACATTCCAAACTGTATTGAAGTGCTAAAAAACGCAGCTGTTGCTTACAACTACAAACATTTTCAAAGTAGATTTCAATTTGCAGGTAGCTTGTAAAAAATTCAACATTAACATCCTATGAACAATTTTTTAACATAATTTTTTGATATATATAACAATATATGTTGACATGAAAATTATAAATAATAATCAAACCACATAGACAAGAAATTTTTTTTTACGGCGATAAAGTAATTGTGGCTAACCCTATCGGACCCCTAACAGCCCGCCCCTAATGCATGATTCCTAAAAGAATTTTTTAAATTAATTTTTGTGTTGTATAAACTAGATCAAAATTCATCAACAGATTTCAAAAAAATATTTCTTGTTAAAAAGTTACGACCATTTAAAGTTATTTCAGAGGGTAAATGAGAGGAATTTTAAACTTCTAATGGTCATAAATCTTAAGGTGGTTTACCACGAGATAAATTTTTTTGTCAAACTAGGTTTTTTTATTTTAGAATATTTAATGAAATAGTTCCAATAACGAATTTTTGTTACTAGTTATAAAAAAAAATTTTTAATTTAGAAAATTTTTGTAAAAAACATATGATTTAAAAAAAAATAAAACCGTTGAAAACTGTACACATGAATGAAACAATAAAACTCAAACATAAAATGTTTATTTCTCTCAAATTTTGAACAGATAATCTCACCTATATTGTTTAGTTACTGAACTAAAATGAGGTTCATTGCACAAGTAGAAACGCCAATTTTTAAATTTTTTATGACATACCACTTTTCGATGGGTTTACATGAAAAATTATGAACAATGAGTAGTAATACTGTAAATAGAGATATCTTGATTTTAGTTCAGTCTCCAGATCTTAGTAATTATTGCAAATGCTTAAAATTTTAGCTCCATATCTTAAACCAATTTTAAAGTATCTTGTTCCACGTAAAGATAAATAGTGAAAAATGATAAACTGAAAAAACAACATTTTAAAAATAAAAAATTAAAAATCTAGAAACCTCTTAAAAGCATACAACTATTTAGCTCCAAGTTCTTGTTCTTTATCAAATCAGCTTTTAGATAATCCTCTTTAACAGATTTCTTATTTTTATTGAATTTCTTTTTAATTTTTCTCCATATTACTAAGACAAAACCTCTCCTTTTCCAATGAACCGGTTACAGTTTTACCACTGTGTGGTATATTAAGATATTCAAAACCACGTTTAGGACTAGATGTTCCTTCGTTGTAAATCAGTATAGCTAAATTTACTTTGATATCTAAGGCACATTTCTTCATAAACATATTTTTATGACACTTAGACCAAATTACATTATTGATCCCATAATTGCAATTTTTTGATTCTCCATAAACACCTTTTCACAAATTGGCCATCACTTAAATCCTTGAAATTATTTAATATAATATCGCGAACCCATATTGGTAGATTAACTTTTAGTTTATAGTTGTTTACAGTTCACCTTCAATTTTTTTCTACTTACACTAACTTTTAGGGTTACACAGGTCATAAAAATTAAGTTGCAATTGACTTTTTGGAATTGATATAGTAAAAATGCTCCGAAAAGCAACAATCGTTCTTAAATTAATGTCAAATGCACTCATGCCTTTATATTGTGCGTGTTTTTTTTCCGCAGTATTACTTGTAAAAGTGCACCATTCATATAAACAAGATATACATTTCATTTTCAATCTGTATGAAAATCCTATTCCCTTTTAATCATCATTTTTTATGTTTACTTAATTTTGACAACCTGGGCAGCTACCAACTTGTATCAAAATTTCTTTGAAAACAGTGAAATACTTAATCAAATTAAAATCACCTAAAAACTGTTTTTCATTCAATTTAAATTTGCACTAAATGATTTTTATAGTAAAGATTTTATTTACTTTTTGAAACTTTTTGCGTTTTTGTCTGTTCAAAGAAAATGTTTTCATAACTTTTCTTATATAATTCTTATTATTTCCATTTATTTTATTTATTAGCTAAAAATAAAATGATTAAAATCTATTAACAACTTTATTAATAAAAATAAATATAGATATATAGTTTTGTCATAACTTATCTCTAGAGATAAATAAGTGCTCTGTAAAAGCTCTTACGTAACACTAAAAATAAATGTTGTTTGTTTATTTTATGATAATCTACGGTATAGAATAGAGTTGACCATCATACTTAAATTCCAGTTTTATAAAAATGTGCAAAAATTAGTCCAAAACAAGAATAAAAAGTGTTGCTAAGGGCCGTTGCTATGCAAAACAAGTTAAACCACCTTACTTAAATTAAACTTTTTGTGTTTATTTTACTACAAAACAGATTTCAGAAATGAATCCAGGGATAATTATCCTAAAACAATTTAAACTGAAAATTTTAAAAAATATCAACTTTATATTTAAAGGTGGTAAAGCACCTTTAACGAAATGAAGATTTTTCGATAAAATTTGAAATCTGTCGAAAAATTTTGATCTAATTCATGATAGAATTTTTAAGAAAAATTAATGATCTCAGGAGAGGAGTTCTAGGGGGGGGGGGCAATTATGGGTCGGAACAGGGATGAGTTAATTCCAATTAACTAGAATTTTTGCAAGTCATTCTCATTTGATACCAGTATCAATATACTAGAAATTTGAGAATGCTACATGGCTTTTAGTTACCTATCTTGAACAACAAAATTACTGGGCACTCGCCTAAAATACGTGATTTCTCCTCAAGCCGGCCAAAAAAGTTGTTTTTTATATTTTTGGAAGAGGAAAGTCTTATGATGAAAAATAACTACAAAATTTACTAGGGATATCGCAAGGTCTTAGAGCATGTTCCCATGCACCGTAGGGTACAGCTTTCTACTTAAGTGGTGAGATATGTGATTACCATTGAAGTCATGATATATCATATACCTTAAGGTTATTTCTACCCTTCCTTTTTTTTTAGAGTGTATATGTTTTTAACACATAGATTTAATAATTTAATATGTATATTTTAAATAAATCTAATACATATTTTTATCAAACAATAATAGTACTATTACTACTATCATTTTTATTTCAATATTTTTTTAAACTATGGGGGCGGATGACAGGAAAGGAAGGGGAGGGGGAGAAGTTGTTTTCCTCAAGGTTTTATTAACAATCTTTAAATTAAAAAAACAAAAAAACCAAAGAAAACAAA